CAGGCGGGAACTAACCGCAGCCTTAACAGTATGCTTTTTATCCTTATATCCAATTTCCACCACCACAACCAGGTATCTGTGAACATCCCCATGCACACACCTAATATCCACCCATGATGCCTCTACCAAAGCCCCAGGTCGAACCAGGTTCTGGTGAATTATAGACTGCATACAGCCTGAATCCACTGAATCCACCATTGCCTGATGTATACCCCCTTGAATCCTTACCGGATTGCTGTATGTCCCTCCTGGACCAGGGGAGGGTGTTGGTGGGCCAGCAACCCGGACCACTTTGCTGACCTCCATGAGCGGGCATTCCCTGCGGAAGTGTCCAGGCTGCCCACACCTCCAACACTCCTGCCCCGACGCCTGAGGAACCCTCTGTAAGTCGAGAACAGCACCTTAAGTGGCTGGACCCTGGGATGGGGAGAAAACAGAAGAAAGTTAGAGCGAGGCAAAGGGCAAGGCCGGGTGAATGTGTACTGATGATGGGTAGGTGGGGGTGTGGGTTTTCTGCGGGGTGCCGAGAGCCGCCTCTCCTGAGCCTGGTCTCTATTATGACCAGCCAGATGATCCTCTGCTAGGGTGATGGCGGCCTCTAAGGCTGCCCGTCTGTGACACCGCACCCACTACTGGTCCAGGATGGCTCTTTTGATGTTTCGGAATTTCCCCCGAGCAGAAGCTGGCAGTCTGGGCGAGCCACACGCCTTCGCCGTTGCCTCGAACATCTCAAGGAATGTTTGGGGGTCATCCGCCGCTGTCATCTTGTGCATGGTGATATTGTAGATGGAGGGAGGAGGAGGAGATGGTGACTGTGCCCCCATCGGGCCAGCACACTTGCAAGAAGCTGGTTCTGCTTCCCTGCCTGGTCGTGGAGGGCCTCCAGATGTTGCCTGTTCACAGCAGCCTGCTCTCGGTACATTGCAGAAACCTCCCCCAGTATTTCTCCCAGCCATGCCACCAGCGGTGGAGGCTGCTGCAGAGGTCTGACATCCTGTTTGCTGAGGTACATTGGGTGCCAGTGTAGCAAGACTCGCTACTACAGAGGATTCTCCCAGCACACAGACCAACAACAGGGATTAGTGAAGAAGACAGCTTTATTCTTTTCTCAGCCGCACACACAATTAACACACTACTTAGTCTGCTTCCAAAAGTCCATTAAGGTCTGCTCCGGTTGTGTCTCCTCTGCCATGTGTGTCAGCTTCGAGATCCAGCACACTACTGCCTTAAAAGAGGTGAGTGTGATTACTCCATGAGTACCAGCTGAGATAATCAAATCACCTGGCGCTGCTCTCATAAGCCTTCCCCACACCTCTCTCTCCTGCAGCAGTGCAAACTACACCCACCTCCACACAGTTAAACTGTCTTTTTATCTGTATATATAGTTATTCTACTAGAAGTCAGATCCACCTACCTCATGTACATAAAACATAAAAATACCCACACAAAAATAAAATGTAAAATTAGAATGTTTTTGAGAGGAGAGATACTTGTTTAACCTGGTTATTATTTGTGTGTGTGTATAGCAGTGGCATGCTGAAGGAAGAGGAAGATGATACCATCCACATGGGGAATGCCATCATGACTTTCTATGCTGCTCTCATTGACCTGCTGGGCCGCTGTGCCCCAGAGATGCACGTGAGTAAACACACTGTACACAGGCATATACACACACATGCGTATTATTACTCACACTTACTTAACCCATTTTACATCAGTTGATCCATGCTGGTAAAGGTGAAGCGATCCGTATCAGAGCCATTCTGAGGTCTTTGATTCCTATTGAAGACCTGGTGGGAGTCATCAGCATTTCATTCTCAATGCCCAATCTGGCTAAAGGTAAGTAAACCCTCCAGCACCCACCCCACCTGACACATATAAAACAGTAATCTTGATTTGAAACAGGTCCAGTATACAATCAAAGATGAATTTGTGAAAACATAAATCAAAGGCGGTGACTTGTGTGTTTGCCTGCACATGCAAAGATGGGTTAGTGGTGGAGCCAGACATGTCAGCTGGTTTCTGTCCGGACCATAAAGCAGCCATGGTCCTGTTCCTGGACCGAGTCTACGGCATAGAAGACCAAACTTTTTTGTTACACCTGCTGGAGGTCGGCTTCTTACCAGACCTGAGAGCTGCTGCCTCTCTGGACACTGTAAGTATGTGTGTCTGTGTGTGTGTGTGTGTGTGTGTTTGTGTGTGTATGTATGAAACTGCTCCTTCTTTGTTCTCCTACAACATTTTTTTTTTTTAAGTTGCGTTAATTAATATTCTCATATTAACAGTCATTCAAATTACTAGTGCAAGGTGTTGCAACAGTGAGTTTAAAGCCAATTTGACTTACAGAAATGTTGTCAATCATGGGAGGCACACTGGCCTAAATTGACTTTTTTCTCTAGATTGTGAAAGATGTGGCTGTAAATCAGTGGATACTTTTTTTTTTTAGCATCACAACCCCCACAAAATGACACCTTTCACTATCAGAATTTGATCCATTCAGCTTTAAGTTAATGGTTGGCTAGACTTAGAGATAGCCAGAACAATCCGTGTATCATTCGTTCTTTTCATATTCAATTGAGATTCCAAAATCGGAAAATGAAGAA